GAGCGTGAAGAACTGCGCTTTTACGGCTAATCTTCGAACCGCATGATGATTTTTTGTGTGGATAGCAATTCGTTTCTTTAATGATCTGTAATGTCTGTTGTATTTTGATGTTTTCATCTACTGCAACAAGAGGGAATTTTTGTGCGGGTATATTATTTGTGCGATACGGCAGAATGCTGTACTCGTTTGTGCTTGTTTGATCTGCAGTACTGGTGTTTTCTGTATTTCAGAGCAACAAAAGTATCTTGGATGACGTATTGCATCATATATTGGAAGGTACTAGCATTGTAGAGAACTTGTGTGAAACTTTCAGCATTTTATTGGCAGCTTGAAAGTAAGCTTGGTGAATTAAGTGAGTGAGTGAGTGAGTGAGTGAGTGAGTGCATGCGAGCATGCATAAGTTAGTGAGCGAGTGAGTGTGTGTGTGTGTGAGTGCGTGCATGAGTGAGTGAGTGAGTGAGTGAGTGAGTGAATGAGAGTGAGTGAGTGAGAGTGAGTGAGAGTGAGTGAGTGAGTGAGAGTGAGTGAGTGAGTGAGTGAGTGTGAGTGAGTGAGTGAGTGAGTGAGCGAGCGAGCGAGCGAGCGATCGAGTGATTGAGGTAGTGAGTGAGTGAGCGAGCAAGCAAGCGAGCGTGTGAGTGAGTGAGTGAATGAGGGATTACACGATTGTTTAGTGAGATTGATAGATGGCGCGTTTGCACTGCAGACTGCCGCCACCACCTCGCCGAACCAGAGCTGAAGCTGTTTGCCCCCACGGCCTGCCTGCTGCAGGAGGTGGCGTCCAGTTCTGACCCTGCCTGCTGCAACGTGCTCAGCGAAGTCGTGCCCATGCTGATCTCCCAGTTCCAGGCTCACCCGCAGGTATAGCCACGCTAGTGTCTGCGTTCTATGTTATATATATATATATTATGTATGTGGGCTACCCTCACGTATAGCTCACGTTTGGGCCTCAAGTTTGGACGAAGATAGCTATAATATATCGGTGAAATCATATAATTGTGCAGTTGGCTCGCACGGCGAATTGTTTATTCCACCTCTGCCTTTGTACTCGTATGCCTTCCTTCTGTTATCGAAAAAGTGACAGCCTGTTTTCATTTGTCTTGCAGAATAGCCATAGAAAAGCACTTCTTGAGACATTGATAGGCTTTCTAAAAATTGCAAATGTATTCTGCCAAGCTGAAAATAATGGTATGTTGTTTGACGGCTTGAATTTAATCTCTTTTCAAATAATGCTCTTTGGTGTTTGTATGCTAAATGTTATACAAGCGAGGTAGGATTGCAGTCTCTGGGTAACTTGTGAAAAGCACGCTGAAACTCAATTTGTGAAGTGATGTTGGTGGAATTTTGTTCAAATAGTCTAAACCAGAGGATCCACGCAACTCATAAATAACCCTTATTGTTGTGAAAACGTTGTTTGGAACTTGGGTAACATTTGTACTTGATCTTCTTAAAAAATAGTTTTGCTTGTGTGGCCATATGCCAAATGCCCACTGCTATGTTTCATGTTAACAAATTGGGGAAAAAAGATGAAGAAAAAGACGAAAATTAAGAAAAGTTTTGGAATGTCTTTAGTGTCTGCAAAGTCATTAAGTCTGGAAATGTTTTTAGAATGTCACCTTAACTGGTGCCATGTTCTGAAACAATTACTATATGTGGTATAGCTTCTTTAGCCTGATTTTCCAGTAATATGTACGTGCATTTTTGAACATCACTTCTAAACTATCGTCGCAGCTTCAAGCCCTCTCCACCGCGACAGCGACCAAATATCGACCCTGTTCCTAAGCCTGCTCTCGGACAGCGCCGAAGAGATGAGATCGGTGGGCATCCACGGGATCCGGGTTCTCACGCAGCAGCCCAAGTTGCTCGACAAGAACAGGCAGACGATGGCCGCCGATCATCTCGTTAGGGCCGCGCTAACGGACGGCAGCTGCCAGATAAGGTACGCGAATATTAAAAACCGATCATGAATTGGTGTGTGCACCCCGGACGCACGCGTGCAATGCTGGGTGACTCAGCATGCTGTTGCTACCAAGCGCGCGATTCTTCCTGGGAATTTCAGAAGACATGTTATTTATGGATCAGGGGTCGAAATAAGCGATGGTCCGATGGTTCGGGGCCATCAAATAATCAGGAGGACCATCAGATTTTCAAAATCAATGGTCCGACGGACCACTGAATATTTTGGTCCCATTTTAACAAGTTTCCATGTTTCGATTATTGCTAATCCAGTGTTGACCATAGCAAATCTTACGCTTGCACGCCGCATTACTTTTAGAGAACAATTTGAAATTTAGGAGGACCTTCTAAAATTTAGGAGGACCATCTTAATTTCAAACTAGATGGTCCTGTGGACCATCTCTTTTTTTCTCCTTATTTCTACCCCTGTGGATGGGTGGGTGAGGTCTCAGGAGGGGTTGTAACGATAATTTAAGATTTTGTTAACTACACGGTTCCTAATAAACAGGTAAACTTGATCAGTTTGGAGATGTATACCGCAAGCTGTGAAATCAGCGTGACTGTGTCGGGATTGTCAAAAGTAAACACGGATGGAAATTAAGGCACGTCGATTAGGCAATTAAGACAATGTCAAAGGATTTATGGGATGTCGCATATAAACTTCGACTTTGAAGATACGTTGGACCCGATCTGCATTAAAGCACTGGGGAGAACATTGCTAAGGATGATGTTACTCTTTGCTTTTCACTTGCATGTGCACTGCATGTATAGAGTGTGCTTGCTAAGTTTGACTGGTGTAGGAATAAGAACTGGTGTGTACGTGTAGGAAGGAGAGTGCAGAGACCTTGGCCCAGATGTCCTTGACTCACCCGGAGGTCATTCATAACGAGGTGTTTCCTGTCCTGCTGGATAAACTCAAGGGTATGACACTGTTCATCGGTTAATATTTTGTGCTTTATACACACTCCCACTCCTGCATGTAGAAAATGCATTTTAGTCACCTGTGACAAAAACTGTACAATCACCTATCAATTTACGTGATATAGTTACCTTCTTGGAAGTGGCTACTTAGCATGACTGAAGTCATTTTGATTTCCAGATGGTTCAATAGATGGCAGCACACCCCACGAAGACGTGCTGCTGGTACTTGCAGGTGTTTCGCGTCACGCCGACACAGGAAGGGACGCCATCGCGCATATCATTTCTTACATACGTGATCCTGCTGGTAAAAATCGTCATCAACACAGATGGATCCGTTCTTGTGTTTACAGAGAAGACCCTGCATGCTTGAACTATGGATACGTTATGAGTTACAGTAGAGAAAATTCACTCTGTAACACTCAATAATGTACAATCTAACGTATATACTCAAAAACCGCATCAACTCTATTATTGTCGGGAAAGCGTAGGTAACGCAGGCAGCTGCGCGTTCTGCCGCAATTATAGATGGCGCCAATGTACAATCTAACATATATGCACAAAATCTGTATCAACCTTGTTATATTAATTGTTATTGTCGGGCAAGCGTAGGTAATGTAAGTGACTGCATGTTTTGCCGCAATTATAGATCGAGCCAATGTACTTTGCAACGTATACGCTCAAAATCTCCATCAACTCTGTTATTGTTGGGTACGCGTAGGTAACGTAAGCTGCTACGTTTTTTGCCGCAATTATAGATGGAGCCACATGTTCCGCGTCATCTGTTACAGCGTGCAGTACACACACAAGGCTAGCAGCCGCACTAGAAGCTCTCCTGTCCATCGTGACGGAGTGGGCGTCGTCGGGACAGAGCCTGGAGTCGGCCGGCAAGGAACTGGTTGTGCAGTTGGCTGCGTTGGCGAGAGCCGGCCGGCTGCGTGTGCCGGAAGGTCACGTGAAGGTCGTGTGCGATCTGCTGAGGTTGATTTGCAGCATGGTGACGCTGTCACTCGACGTTGGGTGAGCATCGTTTGGAAGTCACGTAGCGCGTGGCGCGAAACGGTAATGTGACGTGAGGGAAAGAACGTTGGGAGAGTCCTAAACGTGTTTACTAGATGGCTGTTAACAGGCTGACTTAGGCGGGAATTCCCTCGATGAATAGGTGATGTTATCGTAATTTGGACAAGTGTGTGTGTGTCAGTGACTCAGTGTGCATGTGGGTATGTGTACGTACGTGTGTGTGTCTGTCTGTCTCTCTCTCTCTCTCTCTCTCTATATATATATATAAGAATAAGGTTCTGTTTTCATGATTGATGTTTTCATGCACGCAGGCCAGCAGAAAGCTCGTAGCTGTGGCTGCTAGCCTTGCTGGATGAAGGAGATTGCTCGGCAGTAGACATCCGAAACGACTTCCACGCAGGTACCGAAACAGATCCTAGCAATGGTCGCGATTGCCCAGCGGGGTTGGGCGAAGCACGCACGCCTCATAACCACTCGCTCGACCCGTAAAGTTTTTCGTTTTTAAAGGGCTGTAAGATTAACAGTGATGGGGAAACTGCACTGAATCTTTTGCAGGCATGGCAGGTTAAGCTGTAGTCTGTAATATAGTTAAAAACCACGTAGCTGGCAAAATAACTGTCCTGACATCACCCTGCCTCCTTAAATCAAACTTGACTGGCTGTAATTCGGCCAGATATTTATCCGTTATCAAACGCAAACACGAACCAAAAGCCAGAGCAAAAGTCGTGTAGGTCTGTAGTGGGAGCAATCAGTTTAAATGGTAGGTCTACTACAACGTTCACTGTACGTTCACTGTTACTATCTGTTGCAGGCTGGGGGAAGCTGGACGCACCGCACAGAAGCTCACGCTATACACGCTGGTGTGGATGTTCCTCCTGCAGGCAAGAGGTAGACAAACGCGAAACCACCCATCTGTACTCACTACTGAGTCTCGGTGCGATACCGCATCTGTACATGAGTAGTAAATGGGTTTGTTCATAGTTCCTAGACACGATATTCGCTAACGCGGTTGTCCACCAACATACGGACTCTCTCGCGTGTTTGACGTTTCTATATCTCTGTGGCGTTGTCGTGCGTAGGTAGTCATTCTGAGCAAGGTTCTGTCAGAGCTTTCAGCGTGTATCCTGCCGTGAACGGCATCCAGTGATCTGTGATACGTCTGCCCGCTGCTACGCCCACCTCATTAACAAGCACATCGCAGGTAATATTTCACATGCAGAGGTAGTGGCGTAGTACTATATGGATTAGGTGATGAGGCTGCAGAGGCAGAGTGATATGAAATAAAATATTGGCTACCAAATTATAATCCCTGTTAGCAGTTTGGCTGTGCTGCGATATCACAACAAGTAGTGGGGGGGGGGGGTAAGTAAGGATTAATGAAGAAGCGAAACGTTTCCAAACGTAGAAAACACGTATTATCTCAGATGTTTTGTAGTCGATGAGTAGACACGCCCAACTCATTAACAAGGATATCGACAGGTAATATTTTCACGTACAAAGTAGTAGGGGGATGTTGGGAAGTGGGGATTATAGGAAGGAAGGAAACATTAATTATTTAATAATATTATTTAATATTATTGATTCATTTATGAATTTATTTATACATTAAAATTTAGTTGAAATTAGAAAAATTATTGCAGGCTTTTATAACCGCTTTCTACTGTAACGGCGTAATCGTGTCGATCGCTCGTCAGGTCCCGAACTCGATACAGTTCTCGACGGGTGTCGGCGTATCTGGAGACTCGTCTAGCCGGCGGTGGTGACGACGACGCCGGCCGAACCAAGGCCTTCAACCTGTGGGTGTGGATCAGCAAAGCACTTGTCGTCAGGGCTCATCCACGCGCTAATACATTCAAATCCAAGGTAAAGCCTGGACGTTGTGTTCCTAGGTAGCTCTATGCTACCTAGATCTTACTGTCTAGTTGTAAGTCTTATATATCCATGCGCTAGTACATTTAGTCTAAGGTAAACGCTTGAACCTTGTGTTCCTGAGGTAGCTCTATGCTACCTAGATCTTACTGTCTAGTTGTAAGTCTTATACATCCATGCGCTAGTACGTTCAAATCTAAGGTAATGCTTGAACCTTGTGTTCCTGAGGTAGCTCTATGCTACCTAGATCCCTACGTGTCTAGTTTGTAAGTCTTATAACAATCGCGCTAGTACGTTAAATCTAAGGTAAAGCGCTGGACGTTGTGTTCCTAAGGTAGTCCTATGCTACTAGATCTTACTGTCTAGTTTGTAAGACTAGACACCACAGACACCACAGACACACCACACCACTGGACACCACAGAACAACATGTCGATGCCCTAATCGTTCTTCCTCCTGCTACATCTGACTCATCGTTCCGCGCACGACGCTCACACACACAGGTCTCGCGTGTCTCTCCTCCGCGCGCTCGCCGCCGTTACCGCGGAGGCCTTCAGCGTGATCCTGTGCGAAGCGGCGCGACGGTCCTCTCTCGCGCATGCACTGCAACGTGAGGCTGATGTACAGGCAGCGCTTCTTCCTGGAGACATCGCCGCTGCTGGTGGCCGCCTTCCACTTGGCTCCCAAAGGTGAGCGTGGGGGGAGAGGGGGGAGGGGGAGGTGGAGAGGTGGAGTCGAAGGAGGTGGGGAAAGGTGGGGAGGAGGGAGAGGTGGGGGGAAGGGGGGGAGGAGGGAGAGGTGGGGGAGTGGGGGAAAGGTGAGGGAGGAGGGAGAGGTGGGGAAGTGCGGGGAAAGATGGGGGAGAAGGGAGAGGTGGGGGAGTGGGGGAAAGGATGGGGGAGAAGGGAGAGGGAGGTGGAGGAGGAGGGAGGCCGGAGGTCGGAGACAAGGAGAGGGGAGAGGTAGAGCTGAAGGCGGGGGAGTGAGGAGGGAGGGAGCGGGGTCAAGTGGGAGGAGTATTTGACGTAGGGCAGCTATGGTCATGCTTAGCGTATACGTAGTGGTGGTCATGTGGGCAGTAGACCGCATAGGGGTTGAAGGGAGTGGTGTGGGTCACTGTTCAAGCATCTATTTGGCAGAGATGCCAACCACTACGATTTATTCGTATTTTATACGAATTTCTATTCCGTTTGCACCACTACGACCAGTTTGTATAAAACTACGAATTTCACTGTGATCGAAAAAAATTTTTATTGTCATTTTTGACCCTCAGAATGCAGGAAATTTTATCTCAGAATCAAACAATTTTCCGGGGGGCATGCGTGACCCTCGAACTACTAATTTGATGGCCAGAAACTACAGATTGCTTCAATATGTGTTGGGCATCTCTGCAGTATTGTGGGTGCTAGGTGACTACACATCCATTGACTTGCGAGTATTTTATTCCGTGTAACATATTATTGTCTTCTCGCAGACATGAAACCACACTACCTGGTCGCTCTATCTATCATGCTGAGGTATATACCACACCAGGTCATGCTGAGCGAGTTTCCACCGGTATGTATAAACGCGCGCACTCGTACATACGTATGTGCGTGCGTTCGGGCTAGTGTGCGTGCGTGCGTGCGTGCGTACTAGAGTGCGAGTGTGTGTGCGTGCGTGTATGCTAGCGTGTGAGCGAGTGTGCGTGCGTGTATGCTAGCGTGCGTGCTAGCGTACATGTGTGCGAGCGTGTATGCTAGCGTGCGGTGCAAGCGTGTATGCTAACGTCTATGCTAGCGTGTATGCTAGCGTGCGTGCGAGCGTGTATGCTAGCGTGTATGCTAGCGGTCGGCGTCGGCGCGCGGTGTATGCTAGCGTGTATGCTAGCGTGCGTGCGAGCGTGTATGCTAGCGTGTATGCTAGCGTGCGTGCGAGCGTGTATGCTAGCGTGTATGCTAGCGTGCGTGCGAGCGAGCGTGTGTAGATAAGTAACAGAGAGCCGAATTCAGCACACACGTATTAAAACATCTGTGGATTGCATTGCGTGAACGTTTTAGCCATATTCTCTGAGAGTTCTTCCTGAGGTTAACATGGCGTCTGCGCATAGCACGTGCCTATGGGGCGCCAAGTGTCGCAGGACTGATTTCGTTACGAAATCAAGTCTACAAAGTGATTTCGTTACGAAATCAACTACTGCGAGTGATTTCGTTACGAAATCAGCTACTGCGAGTGATTTCGTTACAAAATCATGCTACACTTGGCGCGCCGGCGTGCTAAAGCGATATGAATAAATGCACTGCAGTCATCGTAGCGTTCCTAGATGGCACCGTAGTAACGTTCCTAGATGGCAGCACTAACAATCCCCCGCTCGCACGCAAACGTGCGTAACGCTCGATCTTCAATTCTTCGTCATCATTCTCACCCGCGTCTCATCTGTGCGCGCGTGAACGTCACCGATCTTCAATTCTTCATCGTCGGTCTCATATCCGCGTTTGCGTTTGCGCTGCAGCTGCTGCCGCTGCTGCTGGAGTCGCTGGTGTGCGGCGACGCGGACCTGCAGCTGTCCACGCTCGCCGCGCTCTCGGCCCTGCTCACGGACACTCCACAGCTTCTCATCGGTCACGCGGACACGATCGTGCCTCTACTACTCACACTCACGCGCCGCGAGGACAGCATGGTGAGTGTGTGTGTGTATGTGCGTGCGTGCGCTTCAGTCGTAGCCTGTGCGTGGCGTACGTACGTATGTATGTATGTAGCGTGCCTCTACTGCTCACGCTCACGCGCCGCGAGGACAGCATGGTGAGTGTGTGTGTGTATGTGTGTGCGTGCGTGCGTGCGTGCGTGCGTGCGTGCGTACGTATGTATGTAGCATGGTGAGTGCACGTGCAGCTAAATCGCTCGTTTATGTATGTATGTATGTATGTATGTTATGTATGTATGTATGTATGTTTTATACATATATTATAACATATATATATATATATATATATTATATTATATATATATAATATATTATTCGAGATAGATAGATAGATAGGTATGTAGGTAAGTTGATAGATAGATAGATAGGTAGGTAGGTAGGTAGGTAGGTAGGTAGGTAGGTAGGTAGGTAGGATAGATAGTATAGGTAGGTGGTAGGTAGGTTAGGTAGGTTAGGTAGGATAGGTATAGGTAGGTAGGTAGGTATAGGATAGATAAGGCTATGTAGGTAGGTATGTAGGTGGTGATAGATAAGGCAAGGTAGGTAGATAGATAGGTAGGTAGGTAGGTAGATAGATAGGTAAGTCAGTAGGTAGAGAGATAGATCGATATTTATGGATTAAACTAATTATTGCATTGACCATAAAACAGATATTGAACGCACGCACAAGCACACACGTACACATGCATATAGATTTTTTTTTATATACTGTATTATGCATTCTTGCTCGTAAATGAGTAAATTCGCCAGTGTGTTGGCAGGGCAGGAAGTCTTGCATGTCATTACATAATACAATAACACAAATACGATGCTTATATTTGCAGAAGCTGCGAATCTCCGCTCTGGACTGTCTGAGAATAGTATCCAGTCTACCCCATCAGGTTGTGTTTCCACATCAGCAGCAGGTATTAAATGCCACAGAGTGTTGTTCTGTGCAATCACTCGCAGTCATTGCAATCGCAGTGTGCATCTTTAACGTCGTTTGACTTGAATGTGTCGAGTGAAATGATGCGCGACTCTGAACTAAAGATTTAACGAGTCCCGATGTAATGATTGTTGTCGGAAACCCAAGACTAAAGGCTCACTCTCCATTAGGAGTGTTCCCAACTTTGATATCATTAATGATTACTGATTGATAATCCTAACCCTAACCCTAACCTAAATGACATTAAACCACAAACTAATATATGACCATGACCATGACCACATATATATATATATATGACATATGTATATATACATACATACATACATATGTATATATGTATATATATATATACATATGTTATTATGACCATTAATGACATTAAAGTTGGGAACACTCCTAATGGAGTATCACCCAGACTGAAGAGCAGCGGCGTGATAAACTATGTGTGTATTTATTTCGTTTGTTTATCTGCAGGTAATTCGACAGCTTTCTGCAGCCCTGGACGACAAGAAACGTTTAGTGAGGCAGGCTGCAGCTAAAACCAGAGGAGAATGGTATGAGCAATAGATCACATTCTGGCAATAACAGACAAATAAATCATTGCCAGTGTTGCATCAAGCATTTTATAAGTGATATATATATATATATATATATACACATTAATATGAATATGAATACGTATATAGTGAAGTGCTTATGGCAACTTTGTACTTCCATCACTTATAGTTGTCACACAGCGAGTATTGTATTAAGATGATTTATTATACTTAAGTATTTATTATACTTATACATCCGTAGAGCCAGTTTAACTATTAATTACAGCATTTATTTTCCCCCACAGGTGTATCTTAGGCAGCATGGTCAAGAATTAATAGAAGGAAGACGCGGGTCAATTGTAGGCAGCACATGTGTTGCTGCACATCTACATGCATGTTCAACTAGTCCTGAAGTTTTATTGTGCCTAGAAAGTTGAATTAGAAATACAAACTGTATGATAACTGCAGAACAATATATATTTTCTATTATCATCGCCGCCATCATCATCATCATCATCATCATCATCATCATCATCATCATCATTATTATATTTATTATTAATGATTGTGCTTATCTTCACAACAAACAAAAACAACCAACAAACAACAAACACCCAAACGTCTCTCGAAACTAAACGGCATAAATACTAGCAACGCGCGAAAAAGACGTAGCTTCCCAGGCCCGTCACCGGATGGCGCCACCCGGCGGTCACTCGGCGACCACGATGCGGCAGACGTCGAGCATGCAGAACGTCGAGCGGCATGTCGGACACGGCGAGCGGCTCGCCAGCCACGTCTCCGGCCGCTCCTGGTCCTGCCGGCTCGCGAACCACTTGCCCATGCACTGGCGGCACCACATCGGGCGGCAGTAGCACTGCACGCAATCACCCGACGTCGCGTCGTCGCAACGCTTCGTCAGCTTCACGTCGGACGTCGTCTGCATGCAGCCGATGCACTGCTCCAGCTCCTGAAACGCGAGAGCGAAGTGAAATACGCGAATGCCTCGTCGCGCGCGTTTCTGCGGAGGAGGGCGGCGATTCGTTAGTCTATGCGATTGATTAATAGTTGAGTGCATGACTTGCACCTACTCGATATAATATTAGCGATGTCGCGTTCCCACAAAACTATGAAAAAAGTTTGCGGTGGAAGCTTCCGGTAATGTCTGCTACGCCACGTTTCGTCTAATGTAATACAAGGGTTCGTGAGTTTTTCGTATCATCTCCGCTTTTTTTTCTTGTCCCGCTAGAAACTTCAGGTAATTTCAACCTGCATTTACTTTAACAGTATACAGATAATCGTCAGACATCTTGTCTTCCAACACACGTGTATATACTTTTTGCATTCGCATCTTCAGCATATGTAAGAGCCTTGTATGTATAATAACGGTGTGGTGTGTTATTCTTACCATATCAGCGGGAACGCTATACTTTTCGTTCAGCGCCACCTGGTTTTGAAAAGCGTCAAGAAATTTATCGCTGAGGCTTTGGTGAATCACAATGTTACGAGCGTTCCTGATCGGAGCCTGAATTTTGGTTTGCAAATCGTTGTAGTCGTTGGAATTCAGTCTGTAATTAAAAGTGGCACGAACATGGCTGTAAACTAACATGAATTCATAAACAACATGCTGCTTGAATTAATAGTTGTCTCTCCAAACATGTGGGAAAGATTTATAGGCAATCTTCTAAAGATCATCAGATGATATCCTTGCATGGTATTGTGGGCATAACCTCATGTGGGAAATACTCTTCAACATTTCATAGTATGATGATGCCGGTATCAATGGCGATAAACCTACATCTGACAACTGACAATAGATTCAAATTACTGGCATGGATTACAAGGGCTGAAAGGGTACGTCTATGCCCCCCAGGGTACTATCGGAGGGTACCCTGGGTACGGTTCGATATATCGGAACGTACCCTGGTACTATCTAATATGCCGGACCGTACCTCGCCTACTCCACTAACGAGTCTAGGGAGTCGCCTACGCCTACTCCCTAAATTCTGTTTTCATGATTGATGTTTTCATGCACGCAGGCCAGCAGGAGAGCTCGTAGCTCTGGCTGTAGCCTTGCTGGATGAAGGAGATTGCTCGGCAGTAGATCCCGAACCGACTTCCACGCAGGTACCGAAACAGATCCTAGCAATGGTCGCGATTGCCCGGCGGGGTTGGGCGAAGCACGCACGCCTTGTAACCACTCGCTCGACCCGTAAAGCTTTTCGTTTTTAAAGGGCTGTAAGATTAACAGTGATGGAGAAACTGCACGGAATCTTTGCAGCACGGCAGGTTAAGCTGTAGTCTGTAATATAGTAAAAAAACCACGCTAGCTGGCAAAATAACTGTCCTGACATCACCCTGCCTCTCTTAAAACAAACTTGACCGACTGTAATTCGGCCAGATATTATCCGTTATCAAACGCAAACACGAACCAAAAAGCACGAGCAAAAGTCGTGTAGGGCTGTAGTGGGAGCAATCAGTTTAACTGGTAGGTCTACGTAACAACGTTCACTGTACGTTCACTGTTACTATCTGTTGCAGACGAGGGGAAGCTGGACGCACCGCGCAGAAGCTCACGCGATACACGCTGGTGTGATGTCCTCCTGCAGGCAAGAGGTAGACGACGGAAAACCACCCATTTGTACTCACTACTGAGTCTCGGTGCGATACCGCATCTGTACATGAGTAGTAAATGGGTTTGTTCATAGTTCTTAGACGACGAACATTCGCTAACGGGTTGTCCACCAAGATACGGACTCCTCCCGCGTGTTGACGTTTCTATATCTCTGTGGTGTTGTCGTGCGTAGGTAGTCATACCGAGCAAGGTTCTGTCAGAGCTTCAGCATGTATCCTGCATGGACGAGCATCCAGTGATCTGTGATATGTCTGCCCGCTGCTACGCCCACCTCATTAACAAGCATATCGCAGGTAATATTTCACATGCAGAGGTAGTGGCGTAGTACTTTATGGATCGGTGATGAGGCTGCAGAGGTGGAGTGATATGGAAATAAAAGGATGGCTACCAAATGATAATCACTGTTAGCAGTTTGGCTGTGATGCGATACCACAACAAGTAGTGGGTGGGTCGGTGGGGGGTGGGGGGTAAGTAAGGATTAATGAAGAAGGAAACGTTTCCAAACGTAGAAAACACGTATATTCTCAGATGTTTTGTAGTCGATGAGTAGACACACACGCCCAACTCATTAACAAGCATATCGCAGGTAATATTTTGCGTACAAAGTAGTAGGGGGGGTTGTTGGGAAGAAAGGATTAATGATAAGGAAAAACATTAATTATTTAATAATATTATTTAATATTATTGATTCATTTATGAATTTATTTATACATTAAAAATTTAGTTGAAATTTAGAAACAATTATCGCAGGGCTCTTTATAATCGCTTTCTACTGTAACGCGTAAATCGTGTCGATTGCTCGTCAGGTCCCGAACTCGATACAGTTCTCGACGGCGTGTCGTCGTATCTGGAGACTTGTCTAGCCGGCGGTGGTGACGACGACGCCGGTCGAACCAAGGCCTTCAACCTGTGGGTGTGGATCACGAAAGCTCTTGTCGTCAGGGCCCATCCATGCGCTAATACATTTAAATCTAAGGTAACGCCTGGACGTTGTGTTCCTAGGGTAGTTCTATGCTACCTAGATCTTACTGTCTAGTTGTAAGTCTTATATATCCATGCGCAGTAGTACTATTTAAC